CTGCAGGGAAACACAGAAGGCGTTTCACGCTGCGGATGAGGCTAACATCAGCGCTGGGTTCCGTTTGTCACCGTTTGCTGGGATCGTGCCCTGCCCCATACACATGCATCCATTGCCCCACCACCGGCCGTGGATTCCGCCGCAGCAGCGCGATTGCTGTGTGCTGAGGGTATAAACCTGCGCCCACCCCTGGCTGAACCTTCCCTGGCTGAACCCTGAGCTGCAGGAAGGTGGATTTAGGGGCCACCATCCCGGCGTGGCTGATTTTGCTTCTCTGACCGTCACTCACCAACCAGTACCCACCAGCAGCTGGGAGCAGAGCTCATCTTGAAACAGCTGCTGTTGGTTTAACGGAGTTTTCACTCTTTCTTTTGAGCCAAGCTTTCTGAGCACAGCAATCCAGGAGGACCAACACACCTGCCTGGGTCCGGAAGGCTTTGTAGGTAATGAGCATCCAGGTAATTAAGCTGTGCTACAGCTTGTATCCCAAACGCATGAAATGTCACAGCATCCTTTTTTTTTTTTTTACATCCTGCCAAGGCTTTGCCGTTGTCATTTCAGAGCATGGAGTTATTCAAAACACCAAGTAAATTAATTTAACGAGTTACTTGTTAATGCCATCAGCACTGTAACGGCAGAGCAGCCTGTTGGTTATATACCAGGAAAGCCTACGGCTGGATGGGGAGTAACATTCTGCTTTTGTTCCCCAGGAACAAAACCTAGGAGGTACTTTACAGCTGAAATCATGAAAGAATTGACCACCCAAGTCCTCAAAAAACCATTATAAAAACAGGAGCTGGGTCGCAAGCCGTGTGCCGAGCCCCCAGCCTGCTCTTGCTGCTCAGGAACACGAGAGCCGCTCCGTGCAGCATCCCCAGCGCCGAGACCGGCATGGTCGGCACAGCCTACACCGACCCTGCCCCACGGCGCTGCGGGGGCAGCAGGGTGGGTGTCGGGACACTCCCCACCTCCAGCAAACCATTATAAAAACAGGAGCTGGGTTGCAAGCCGTGTGCCGAGCCCCCAGCCTGCTCTTGCTGCTCAGGAACACGAGAGCCGCTCCGTGCAGCATCCCCAGCGCCGAGACCGGCATGGTCGGCACAGCCTACACCGACCCTGCCCCACGGCGCTGCGGGGGCAGCAGGGTGGGTGTCGGGACACTCCCCACCTCCAGCAGCGAGCCCATCACCCTGCCCTCGCGCCGCAGCCCTGGGAGATCCAGAAAACCTTTCCCTCGATGCCTCCCTGCAGGGATGGACTGGCTTGTGTGGGGATTTAGCCCAATGTGGAGACGGGGATGAACTGGGGCAGAACTACAACCGACCCGCCTGCAAAAGGTGGGTTCAACCCGAAAGATGGTTGAAACCCCAACGACTCAGCTGATTCTCAAAAGCCACTAAATGGCTTTTTTCTCACTCCTCCTTGGTTTGACCTTGCTCAGGAGACACCACGACGATGCTGAGGATGCCTCCTGCTCTCTTTCCTCCCGTGTTTCCGCGTGATTCCTGCAGTATTTTCCTCCTGTGGGTTCACCTGCCCGGTGCTGTGCTCCCATCCTGCTCAGTGCTGTGCTTGCCCTTGCCAACACACCTTCCCACTCCTTTGGCCATGTACCCACCCAACCTGTGCCCCTCTGTTGCCAAAACAGAGCCCCACATGGCAGCCGGGGCTCACGGTCCCACTGGGGACAGTGCTGCGTTCCCAGAGGACACCAGGAGGTGTGGCAGGGTTCGAGCCTGCTCTGTTCTCATCGTGAAAAGCCCATACAGGTTTTTCTGCTTTCATGGGGATGCCAAACCCTCCGACGTGAAAGAAACCTTTTGTGCAGCTGCTCATCCTGTGGCCAGGGGGGGATGGAGCTGGGTGATCTCTGTGGCGGGGTGACAGGGGTGGCTGGTGTCACGGAAAGGACAAACACACCGATAGCATCCATCTGCACGTTTCCCTGCTTGGCAATGCAACGGTCCTGGGCCAAAGGATGCAAAAACCAACCAGACAAAAAAAAATATCTCATGGCTGACTCATCAACCAGCCATCAAAGACTGGAAAATTTTCCTGAGAAGCGGGTAAAATTTGGTGCAACAGCTTAGCAGATGCCTTTTGTCAGCTGTCACCCCATCACCGCATCCTCCTGTGCATCACCCCCCCCTCCCATCGCCCTTCCCGGGGCTGGCCC